GCAGCGGTTGGCGCAAGCTATCGTTATTCTTAACCACATCCCCCAAACGTGCAACACCGTAAAGGTGAACATTATAAGACAGAAGATGACATTCTTTAGAGCAACCAAAGCTTTAAAAAAAGCTTCATTTTGGGAAGTTTGAGTAACTGTTGTCAATTTTCAACGTTTTTGACGAAGCGGCAGGGATGGATGGAGTCTGGTAGGGCTTTGACCGAATTTTTTACAATTGATCTATTCTGTGGTATTGGTGTGCAGCTCCGATCCAAACGTTTCGACTTTAATAGGCTCATCATCGCTAATCCACGTCGCCGTTGCTTCATGTAACTTCGATCGCGCCTGGCGAAAATAATGCACGGTAGCGCCTCACTCGGCAATCAAACGAGTCATTTCTCAAAGTACAGTTTCGCGAAAAGTTGCAGAGAAAAACTGACCAAGCGATCTTAAGGCAATGTTTTATGGAACGACTCTTACACTATTGTAAACTGAGCATAAAATATGTGTGATAAAAGTAATTATGAAAAGTAGCTCCCTTGAGCTTAAGTAGTTTTCGAATCAGAAAAGAAAGTCTATACATATTCGGAGCATTTTATGCGATATGCTTTCCTAGAATTCCAAAAAGTTACACAAACTCAACGAGTGGGGTGAACAACTATGATAAAATAAGATCCATTTTCAAAGGACTTTATCGTAGGATTACTATAGATGAGAAGTCAACCACATGCATAAAATTTTTGAAATCTTCCCTTACAGGCAAATCAGTAATTTTAACTGTTTTATCGCATACCTAACTCCATCGTAGAGTAAGAGTCTAATATGCGATGTGGATATGATTTTCGTAAACAGTACCGCGATCAACCTCATAAGACCACTTTTCAAACAAATTCGTAATTTTGACCTTTACAGCGAATATCACCGTGATCCTACATGTCCTATCGAGGAAAGTGGAGAAAATTCTTAATTATTATATCTAGCTACATCACTAGTTGCGTTGAATCCTCGGAAGTCGGCTGAGCTGTGTCACTAAATAAAATCATAAGGACTAGAAAACTGAGTAAAGAGTGGAGCCAAAACTCTAGCATCTCTACTGCACTAAAATGAGGTTAATATAAAGTTTTTCAATAATCAGAGTTCCAGGTTCGAGCAACCCCTAGCCAGCTGGAAATAATGCGAGTAGCCGAGACGCGGGTAGGCAGGTCCCGGTACGATTGTCTCCTGCTGTAATTTGGTTTGCCAACTTTTCCAAAACACGTGTAAGCTTCGAAATCATTTAAACTCGCAATAAAGTTCGTATGTGTCTCTAAGTATGCACAAGTTTGGACAGCGGTGGTCTATCAGTTTGCTTGGGAGTTTTTTCTTCTTCACAAATCATATCTTTGATTACACACCTGTTTGCATTTATTGTGTTAATATAAATGTGCTTGTCGCTACGCTTTCCATTAATGTGTATTGATCGTTATTCAAACAGTTGCCTAATCTCAGTATGGAGCTGTTCCTGCTCTTATTGGGTGGGTTCGTTGGACTGGTAGGGGCTCCTCCTCCTCAGAGAATTCAAGTAGAACAGCAAGCTGCTCAGCAGAAACAGGTTAAGATGGTAAAAGGCGAACGCATCATAAAAAGATATCTTAGGTTTTCAGGATCCAAGCTCGAATAGGGCGCAACGCGAACATCCGAACCCGAGCGAAACTGGACAGAAACCTGTCAGATTTTTTAATTAGTGAACTTTCCGATTGTAGAAAATCGTCTTCCTGAATTTGCAGATGTATGAATTCACTTACTCTAAATATCTTGAAGAAGTCGTAAAGATACTTGAAAGTGATCCAAAGTTTTCCGAGAAACTTCGTCAAATGCCGGAGGCTGATATCAAAGTTTGTTGCTATTTATCTTCTCGTTTACCAATCAGGGCTAAGTACTACGTCTTCATTAAGGCTGGAAAAATCGCTGATCATATTGATGACTTAGACAGCCATGTATTCGACAGACTGACAAAAGCAAAACTTGACGAGCTTGAACGGCTTCGAGATCAAATTCAGAAGCAAATTGAGGTTTCTGTCGTGGATGGAATTTCTTGTGGCTTTTTACCTGCATCATTCTATCCATTAAAGGCTGATGGCGGAGCGCATAACGTGAAAATGCCAGAGCATCTGGATGCCACCAACTGGGAGAAATTCGGGAAGGAAGACCTTAGAAAATTAATCACTCGTGTAAGAATGTCTTACTTTTCTAGTAAGAGATTTATTGCATCATAAACCTGCAAAGGTGAGAGTAAAAATATGTGTTTTGCTAGTTTCTCTTCAGTAGTTCACGTCAGGATTGAATAGCCTGCTTGAGATTTGAGGTAATCAAAACAAAATACACACATTTTCTGGTCACTCTAAACACTGTTCAAAAGGACCCTTATCGTTAATGCTTCAGACTGTGGAAGATATGGAAGCCATGGACAAACAACGTCAAAAAGAGTTTAAGGAATATGAAATGCGAAAGAAAGCCGAGGATGATCACAAACTTTCCCAGATGAATGAACAAGTTGGTTCGCAGTAGTTTATGCGATTTCTAAATGATATATCAATATTCAGCAACGCGCAAATGCCGTCCGCGAAGCTGAAGAATCGAAGAAACGGCATAATGAACATGAAAAGCTAAAGCACCCGGGAAGTCGAGACCAACTTGAGGAGGTTTGGGAGGAGACCGATCGCGTACGTTTTTTACTAGTGCAAAATTTTATCATTCTCCCGATTCAAATAGTCGCATAGTGTTCTTCGGATGCAATTCGATATCTACTTTCTCTGGTTATATGGTACCTTCACAGCAAAAATAATCTTATCTCAAATAGGTAACGAGTAAGAAGCAAAAAAGTTTGTTGTAGGTATCCCAATCTCGTTGCAAAGCAATGGTTTTGGTTTACAGTGTTCTTCTGTGTTTCAATGGGGTTTTCGATCACCATAGCTATATCGAAAAGATGAATCTATGGTTTTTTTGGGGAAGAGATGAAATCATACGTTCTGGGACTGTTCTATATATGGTCGTCTAGAGATCTTCTCTTGTTT